GGCGCCCGGGGCGGGGTCAGGGACGGCGCCAGGTGTGCCCGGCGTCCGCGGTCACCTGAGCTGGGCCGGGCACCTGGCGTGCCCGGGCGGGGCTGCCGCTCCTGGTTAAACTTGAGGATGTAACCCCAGCACCGTGGGAGGCGGAGCAAGGAGGGTCGCAGGTTCAAGTCCCACCGGGGTAACTTAGTGAGACCCGGCCTGGAGATGTAGCGCAGTCGTACGCTGGGTTTGGTTCCCGGACGCGCGCGAGCGCACACACACCCTTCAGGATGCCACCAGGCATCGTTTCTGTTTGGTGCCCGCCTGCCTAGGCCCCATGGTGGGCACAGGTGGGCCTAGAAACCACGACCAGCCAGGGTGGACGTGGGAGGCTGAGGCAGTGGGATCGCAAGTTCGAGTCCAGCCTGGGCACCTTAGTGAGAGCCTGTTTCAGAATGAAAAGGGCTGGAGACCTGGCACAGGGCGAAGGCCCTGCTTCTGTCCCAGCGCCTCGGGGAAGAGTCGCCAACGGAGGTGGCACGGATGCTCGGCTGTTAAGCGGCGTCCCGGAGGCCCGCTGGGCCCGCCCGCGCTGGCGAGGCCCCTGGTCCCCCAGGATGGCCCTGACGGCAGACAGCAAACTTCCAGGGAGCTTTAGGGATGAGCAGGGGGAACTTGGGGCGGGAGGCGGCGGGGCGCAGGGAAGAATCCGGGCCAACTGGTGCGGAACCCTTAAAGGGAACCAGAACTGTCAATTCAAAGTTCTCCTTCAGAACTGCAGAGCGAGACCCTGTCTCAAAAAGACAAAAACAAAACGAAACGAAACGAAACAAAATAAAGCTCTTCTTCCAACAACTCGCCCTCAGAGGAAACCCACGATCCCTGGGGTGAGGTTGCCCACACAGTTCCGTCTGGGTTATCCCCAGACTCGACTTCAGAGTTTTAAGACCCTGGGGAGCACGAACTGCCAAGGGCTTCCGGGCTTAGCCAAAGGAGTCCCAGAGTGGCCGAATAGGGCCCGAGTGTTTCCGAACAGACCCGAACTTGGCAGGGGAGAACGGGGCAAGGCCGCTGGTTGCTCCTGTGCGTTTCCAGGGAGTTCCGAAAAGGTCCGAGCTGGGAAAAGCCGAGAGCTTCCGAAGAAAACCGGAAGTATCCGAGCTAGTTGGCGGGGGTGTGCTAGGATTTAATGGTCCTCGCATTCATGCGCTTATTCAAAAAACAAGTGCTAATTTAGCGCCCATCGTGTGCCAAGGACAGTGCCAGGCGTTGAGTAAGCAGTGTCAGACCCATATTGCTGAGAAGTAAGTGTCGGTACTTCTCAATATTTCCTTTCGGAAATCTAGCCGAGGAATTCCGAAAACTTCCGAACGGCACACGAACGACAGCGTTCCACCACCGGCAACAGCCGAACATTTTCTTTTTCTTTTT